TTATTTATTAATTAATTAATCATTTATATTGTAATAACATTTAATAAATAATTCTAATAAATAATTGATAACAATATTTTAATAGTAGCTATAAAAAATAATAATAGTAGCTATAAAAATCTTATCGAATAAATGAAGTTCAATAGCATTAATATAAAATATTTGAATATTTGAATTTTTCAGACATGAAAGTTCGACTAATTTGATTTTAGTTCGAAAATTAATATTCGAAATTTTTTTGTTACTATATAAGTAATAATAAACAAAATTTCTTAACTTAATGAATCATACACCAAAAGTAGTTTTCAAATTTAATTCAGTTTCCATCAAATTCGAAAATTCCTGAATGAAAGAATTAAAATAGACCTTAATCAATGACAAAATTCACGGAGAATATTCAAAAATTCAACTTGAGCAAAAAAAATTTGCCATTCAAAGTTCGACTTTGGGCAAAAAATATAAAAAAATTCATAATTTTATATTTTCTTCTTTTGTCTATTATTTTTCAATAGCTAAAATAATTTTGCGTATTTATGCTAAATTATTTATTCATGGATATGTGTGTATGTATATAAAATATTCCTATTCAATATGTTTTCTTAATATAAATTATAATCGTGCAGGTAATATTTAAAACCATATTAACATAAATTAAATGAACTGAAAAAAATAAACTGTAAAGAATTTTTTATTATAAAAATAAAGAAAAAGAAATAAAGTAATAAAAATATCAATTAATATATTGAATATATTAAATTAAGATGTCTGTGAACACACACAATAATTACACACTTATTTAGAATACACATTACTCTGTTTACTACCTATACTGTACAGGTACATAAATAGTATTTTGTTCAAATATGTGCTTAAATATTAATTTATGTATTCTTACGCTTAAGCAAATTTTAAAATTACGTAAGTACTTATCAGAAATTTGTTTCATTATATATAGATAGCTATATTTTGGCAAATTTCTTTTAGTAAGGGAAAGGGGGGAGGCAAATGTTTGTCTATTACTTAAGTATATTCCTGTTTTTTATTGTTCTATTTATTTTCAAGTATATGTAAATAGGTACTTATTTTATTCTTAAGTTACAAAAAGTAAAATTATCACATTATGAATATTACTGTCAAAAAGATAACCATTATTACACGATAAGCTATACATTATAAAATTTTCATTTAGAAAATTAATCAAAACGGTTGTTAGTCCTTGTCAGTCGTTATATATATAAATTGTTCGAGAATCCACAATACCCAAAAAAATTAACAAAATGTTACTCAGTTCGTTTAGATTCATTCCATCATCTTGTTTCAGGCGATAGAATACCTTTAAATCGTGTCATCGTGTCAAAGACGCTCTAAAAATAAAAATATTACGCACGCATCATAATTACAATTCTAGTTTTATGTAGAATAGAATGAATGACTCTTTTAAAATGACAATACTTTCCGTAATTTTATATTCAAAATATCACCAAATTATTTACCCAATACAATCCAACTTAGTTATTTTTTCTAAATTTTCGTCTCATTCTGGAACACTTTTATAAATCCAATCATTAAAAAATTTATAACTTGAGCACAATCCTATCAAAAAATTATCAAAAACAATTTACGATATTAAATAATAAATTAAGTACTTATGCAAACATCACGTTTTTCAAGTTTTTTTTCTAAATAATAAACTATTGAGGTTTATGTACTTATGTGTACTTTAAATTAACAAAATCTATACTTAAGTATGAGCATTTGAATTATATCAGATAGAAAAAAAAAGTAATAATTTTAAGCATATTGAAGTAACGTTTTTGTTTTTTATTAACTATTGCTTATGTGTTGATCAAACGTCATTTTATAATTTTTTTTTTTTTTTGGAATAGAAATCAAAAGTAATAAAGCTTTTATCAAAACAATGAAAATTTTATCACTTGTACAAAGTTTAAAAAAAAAAAAATACAAAGTGACTGATTAGTAAAATTAATAAAAATTTTTATTATTATGACGCAATTAAATAAAAACAAAAAATTTAAGACTTTTTGGAAGAAGGAAAAAAAAAACCACATTTTTTTTCTACAATAAATAGAGGAAAAAGCTTTAAGTAAATTACTTTTATTTTCAATTATAAAAACAGATAAAAAATATTTACTTATCATTTGTATCAAAAATTCTTATTAATGATAATGAAAAAATTCCAAGTTCAAAATGATAAAAGATTTGATTACTTTTTAAATTTCCTCATTATGTGGTTGATTACTTAAAGTAACTAGTACCTTAATTATTTATTATCATTTATCTTAAAAAATTCATCCAAAAATTCTTATCATTTCATTTTCCAATTGTTTTTATAAATAAATAATGTAATCAAAGTCTTATAACACAAACCATTGTAAGAGTAAATTTTTCATAACACTTACTTACTGTTTTGTTATACTTTTGCATTACCCTTACCCCTAATTATTTTTATTTCTCAAACCCACCACTATTTATAATATTTCTATGATTATATATACATATTCAACTCTATTTATAATACTTCTATGATTAATTAAATTATTATTATTTTCAAAACAATTACATGAATGTATAATTTTAAATTGTACATTCATGTAATTGTTCCTACATTTAAAATTAAATGGAAAGCACTAAACATAATTAAAATATTCTTTGATGAAAAAATTGAGTCAAAATTAAATTCCACGCGTTATAATGAAAAAACATTACTTTCAAATATTATTGATTACATACTTTAAAGGACAGTAATATGGATTTGATTGCCTTATTCAAAAAATAATATAAAAGTACTTATTAATAAAATTAATTTTCTCAACATAAGATATTTTGACTTACGAGTACTATTTTTTGCTTTTGTTTTCAAAAATATATTAAATACCGGTACGTATAAGGAAACTGATTACTTAAGTGAGCTTTCTCACAAAAAATTGGAAAAAATTTAAATAATTTTAATAATTTTACCATTATAATTGTAACCTACCCTACAATCATTTATAATTTTAATAATGTGTATTATTAATATACTAAAATTATTTGAATATTATTGATTGAAATTTTCTGTAATAATTCATTCTAAATTGATTTAATTATACATTTGACCTCAAATAATCTAAAAAAGTTAATAATAAATAATTGATTAAAAAAAAATTTTCTCTATATTCAGGTAATTAGATATTATGCAAAAGATTATTTCGAATTTAGAGATTAAAATTTGTTATATATAGTAAAGAGTAAATTAATATAAAAGTACCCAGGTATACTATCTACTTCCGAAATATCGAATATCAAGTTAAAAATTCATTGCATTAGATTAATTTGATCCTTATAATCTAAGTGAAAAATTTTATAAACAATTAAAAATGCGGAACAATCGGAAAATAATGATAATTTCTACCAGATTAGCTAGCATTATGATTACAGGAACAGTGAGGTGAGAGATTTTTAGCCTTTTTATAATTAGATATCAGTCTGTAAAACACATATTTTGTGGTTTTATATGTGTACATGTTTTATTTATAATTTTAATAAGAAAGTGAATAATTCCAAAACACACAATTCAATAATTAAGACAAGATATAAAATAATTAGATGAAATTTCAGATTAGATGCTAGGTTCTTAATTTGATGTTAGAAAAACTTGAACATCCCTACTATTTAGAATTATGCTGATCTTAGTACCTTATCTTAGTATCTATACTAATTTAACAATTTTATAAATTATTACAATAAATTAATAATAGATTAATACAAAGAATTCAAATAAGATTATAAGGCTCAAATTAATCCAATGCACTGAATTTTTAACTTGACATTCGAGTGTTTTTGAATTAATAAAAGTAGGTATCCAAATATTTTGATTGTGCAATATTTGTGCTCTAAAGACCCGGTTCTTTCTTTTTTCATTTCATTAACTCTATGTACCTGATTACATATATACATACAATTTTTAAATGCCTTATTTAATTTTACTTCTGAATTTCCTGACAACCAAGTCAAGTTATTTTTTTTTTTATATAAACAAATAAATAACATTACTTAGATATTGTGAGTTCAGATATACATATGTATGTTTGTAGACTAGAAATAGCTACTAACATATAAAAAATAAAAAATTAGGTAACTGTGAAAGTATCATATCCATACATTTACAAACATATATTTTTATATTTAATTTATTTTATACGCAAATTATCTAACAAAATCAGGAAAACAAACAAAAAAAAAATAAACCAGAAAAAAATAAGCACAAATGTCATGTAAGCGTAACTCAATAAAGCACCATACAATTATAATTTTTTTGTTTTTCTTTTTTTTTTTGGTTTTTTGACTTTTATGGGAATGATTTAAGCAAAAACTGTTGTATACAGTAAATTGTATAGTGTCATGCATGCTATTGCTACATAAGTAATATTTTATTATAAAAATAATGATTACCAAAATATAAATAGAGTAGGTAACTATTATGTATTTTATGTGACTGAATATACGATATGAGTTTTTTAAATAAAGTAGGTACTCAACTGTATATCTGCATACCTAATCTCATTAAAATTACTAGTTACTATTCGTTACTACAAGTAAATAGAACAAAATTCTAACATGAAAAAAAATTTGAAATTACTTAAAATTATGTTGGAAATACATATGTATGTACTTATATTCGACAATCGACATGAATAGTCAAAATTGTAATTTTCATTTTTCTATGTCACAAAAATGACAAAAAAAAAAATTCCCAAAATAAAAATGATATAAAAAATTCATTTTCGAAATTAGATTTGTTTTTGTTTTATTGTTTTCTATTTTTCTTTACTAACAAAAAACCTGTATTGCAAAATATACATAAATACATATTATATGTATATTAAATTTTATTATATAAGCTTGTATGTACATACATGAATTATTATAATATTGAAATTGACAAGTAAATCGTAATTGAAATTGAATTTTTATAATAAAAAAAAAATTATTATACAAACCTGTATACGGGGATCTAAATCTCCACCACATCCAACACCACCACCACTAGCAGCAGCACTTCCATCAATTTCTGACATTGTGACAGTTTAATCCTTAGCAGTAATTTGCAAATTAAATTTCAATTTTTATTTTCTAATTTAAATTAGGAGTATTTTATATTTTTATTTTATTTTTTTATTATCTAATTAATATTAATTAAAAATTTATGTTACAATGTATATTTTTATTGAATATTAACTATTAATTTTTAAATTTTATCATGTTTAATTTACAAGTGTATTTCTTAAAAAAAAAAACTAAAAATATAAAGTAAGGTTTAAAACCTTAATATTTTTTTTTTTTTTTTGATGAAAGAAACAATAAAAATAGAAAAATTTACAGCCTCATATTTAACATTGGGATTAATATTTTTTTCTTGTCATCTTTTCTGATTCTATTCTATTTTGAAGATTCTGTTTTTCATTTAATTTTTTAAAAACTATTTTAAAATATATTAAATCTATAGTAGCAAACCAAAAAAAAAAAAAATTAAAATTTATATTTTTTTTTCTTTCTTCGAACAAAAATCAAACTTTCACATTCCATTAACACCACATTCTTCCGTCAATTTAATTTATTATTTTTTATCGTATGATTTTACAGACCGCTGTCACTTAACTGATTTTTGACATTTTAAAAATAGTCCTAAAAATTTTGATATTTGGATTTTCGAAAAAAAAAATTAAAATGTTCGAACAATAATATACAATTCAAAATGGAAATGTCACTGTCATTTAATTTAGAAGAACGTAAAGTCACAATAATAAAATTACGATATTAATTAGGGTTTGGTAAATTAATTTATTGTTTCAAAAAAATAATCAATGAATAAAAGTTTTTAGTTGTTTTTTTGTGAAATTACCTAAATGAAATTTAGCAGTTTTCAAATTTTGATTTTGAAGTGCATGCTCATTGTTTTTAGGGTATTTAATTTCAGCTTCCGTATTTTGTATTATGTTTATGTGTCGATAAAATCATTTATGTATAAATTTAAATTGTTGTAGTCCTTTGAAAAAAATATTGCAATATCAAAATATACTTATGTATATTGTGAATAAATTAATTCAGCATTGAAGGCAATAAATTTTGACATATCTACTGACTCTTTAATATTACAAAAAAAAAACCCAACCCAAGGGTGTGTAAATGTCAAAATCAGCTGTATACTTTTTATTAAAATTTTCAAGTGCATCATTACATTTTGTCATTGCAATTTAGTAAAAGTATAATAAAACAATTTTTGATAAAGTTCTTAACATTTTTCATGTTATTTTTCAATTAAAAAATTTATAAAATTAAAGAAAATTTTTAAATATAAAAATATACATAATATATTGGTTTTATAAAAAGAGAAAAGTGCTTTAAATATGACTATGTCTTCAAAAGAGAAAAATGCATCAACAACTCCAACAATAGAATGGTCTGTTGAAGAAGATATTCAATTATTTTCTGCTCTAGAAGGTTTAAAACCAGTTGGTGTAAATAAACATTTTTATATGGCTTGTATTGCTGAACGTTTAGCAAAAGCTCTTAATCGAGAAATTCCAGCTGAAGCAATATGGGAACATTTAAGAACAATGTATAATTTGGATATGTTAGAAGAAATACAAACATTACCATTCCCAAATGAACAAAAAGATTTTTGTTTGCCAGATAGTGAATTTAGTCAATTAATTGCAAAAAAGAAAATGGAAGAGAAATTGGATGATAAAAAATCGGATAATAAAGGTAAAAAAAAAACGAAAAATCTTTATTTTATTTTTTTTTTGTATATTAGTTTACAATATTTAAAAGAATATTTTGGGCGCATATTCTACAAATTCTGTATCAAAGAATGGGTCATATATCAAAGTATTATTATTGATATAATTTTTTTTTTTTTTTTGTAAATTGTATCTTTTACTTAAATTTATAATTAAATTTAAATTGAAGTAAATAAATTATTTAATAGGTGGCTTGTGTATACATGTACATACATATGTTTATTATTAATAAAAATCACAGAAATTTAAATGTATACTGTGATACGTAAAAGTATCTATCTAGGTTTTTATGTACAGAAAAATGTGTTTATGGTAAAGTAAGTCATTACATTTCTTATTTTTTACGCTACAAAATTTATCTACTTTACACCAGTTACACATTTTTATCATTTTACCCACCTGTTGAATGAAATATTTTTTTCTCATATCCGAATGGGATAATATTGATTCTGTTCTTATGTTGAATTTGTTTTGTTTTTTTTTTTTTTTTGATAAGAGAATATAAGAAATCAATATACATATGTATGTACATACATGTATGTAGTCAGTTAAACAACAAATAAATTCTCATTTATTTTATTTTATCTTACATTGTTTTTATTTTATTTTAGATAAAACAAACAGCACGAGCAAAATACTGTCAACACAAAAAGATTTTGAAAAGAAAGTTACAGCTAAATTGCAAGCTGATATTCCAAAAAGAACACCAAAACGTACAAGAGGATCAGTTTCTTTAGAATCAAATAGCCCATCAACAACACCCCCACCTACATCAAGTAATAAAAGAAGACGTATATAAACAAAAATTTTTTTTTCTTTAAGAAAAAAAAAAAGTATAAGTTGAATGGAAAATTCAATTTTCTATTGCATTGACTTTCATCAAAAAACATTTACCTCAATTCTGTTAGATTCATCATTTGGGTTGTTATTCAAAAATGTTATAATGTTCTAATGTTAAATCAATTTTAGAATTAAAAATTCTATACTACAAAAACTAAAATATTTTTTAATAACATCCCATCACCCCAAAATGATTTGACTAGCAGAATAAGGTTGATTATTTCATTGATTCGGACCTTTTCAAGCCTTTTTTTTTCTAGCTATAATTATTTCAATATTATAATAATATGAATTAAGACTCTTTTTTTTTATTACTTTTAAAAATGTTCTTAATAAGAATGTAGATTTAAAAAAAAAAAAACATAAAAAAATCGAAAATTAATTAATCGTAAACAAAAAAACCTAGATAATAGTTAAAAACTCGTAGAAATAAAATACGAGAACTCAATGCAGAATTAAAACAAAAAAATATTATAATATTATGTAGTAAGCAAGTATTTAAAAAGAATTAAAGATTTTAAGTATTTGTAAAATTAATTTTAATGGAATTTTTAAAAAAAATTCAATTACTACTTTTGTGTATTTTTGTTTATTATTTTTTTTTCTCTTTTAAATTTATTTGACATGGATTTTGATGTGAATTAAGTTTTTTTTTTTTTGTATTTTCAATTAAAATAAGAATTTTATCTAGTTAATTTGAAGTCATTAGTGTAATATTGACCTAACAAAACAAAAAAAAAGCACTAAATTAGGTACGTTGTATCCAAAGATAATAAATGTTGTATACTATTAAAAATATTATAAAACAAAATTAAAAAAAAAAAAATTTAAAAGTAGAATTTAAGATTTATGATAAAAAATATTTTTAAAAATAAATTAACTAACATAAAATATGTTTGGAAAAACTTAAAATCCCATTTATAATTATTCTAAATAATTTTAAGAGATTACAAGGGATACAAAGGATTCTTTAAGAATTGAGGAATTTTCGATTATTCGGACATACACTGAAAATTTTGAAATTAAATCTTAAAAGTTTTTTCTCAAATACTTGCAAATCTTCAAAAATTGACTGTGTATTTTACTTGTAACATACAAGAGTAATTCTTTAAATATTCAACATTTTTATAACATAATAGATGACCTTCTTCTAATTAGTTATATTTTTGAAGTAGTTATAAAAAAACTTAAAAATTTCTGGACAACTTAAGGTACAACTATCATTTTCGAACGTGCTTTTGCAATTTGGATTTGTCGAACGTTCTTAATATTGAAGACATAAGTTAAAACTATCGAAAATCCCCTAGTTTAAGAAAATTACAAGGAATACAATGAATTTTTTTAAAAATAAGCTGGAAAAATAAAACAGAAAATTTTAATTGGAAAACGGTTCCCTCAACCTTTTCGTCTGGTTTTTTTTTTTTATTTACTTCTTCAAAATTTTTTCCACATTTTTCTTGTTTATTTTTTATAATATACAATTATTACGCACATTTACACAACAACTTTTTTATGTACTTTTACAATGTTTTTTTTTTTAAATTTTTGCAAATGAAAACATTTTATGAATGCTTTTTTCTTTTTCTTGATAATTTTCTACGATAAATATATTTTTTTATTTCTGTTTTTAACATTAAATTTCTACAAAAATTACAAAAAAAAATTATTTGACATTTTTCCTTAAATAAAGAGCAAGTAAATAAAAAAATAAGTTATTTATAACAAAATGAGAAGGAAAAAAATACAATAATATAAAAAGAAACTTTGATACATCTTTTTTTTAAATGGTTTCTGATTTTCTTTACCAATTTGATTTGATAAAGTTGATTAAACCATTGGTGGAACTATCATGTGAGGAAACTGGATTATTATTTGCAAGTTCAGGTTCAATTGCTTTTGCCAATTGTTTTCCCAATTCAACGCCCCATTGATCGAAGGAATTAATATCCCAAATAATACCTTGTGTGAAGATTTTATGTTCATACATAACTGAAAATTGAAATTCAATAAAACAATTAGTATTTTTATAACAAAAACAAAAAAAAAACCAAATGAAAATTTACCAATTAAAGCCCCCAATGTAAATGGTGTTAATTTTTTCACAACAATTGAATTTGTTGGACGATTACCAGTAAAAACTTTATGTGGTAATAATTTTTCGATTTTATCTTTAGCCATACCAGATTTTTCCAATTCAGATTTAGCCTGATCTGGTGTTTTTCCAGCCATTAAAGCTTCAGTTTGTGCAAGAAAATTTGCCAATAAAATTTTATGATGAATACCATTCGAGATTGGATTGTGAGTAACAGCTGGTGCAATAAAATCACATGGAATCAATCGTGTACCTTGATGTATCAATTGATAGAAAGCATGTTGACCATTTGTACCAGGTTCACCCCATACAATTGGACCAGTATTATAATCAACATTCAATGATGATTTTGTTACAAATTTTCCATTACTTTCCATATCACCTTGTTGGAAATATGCAGCAAAACGATGTAAATACTGATCATATGGCAGTAATGCATGAGTTTCTGCATTATAAAAATTAGAATACCAAATGCCAAGTAGTGCTAAAATAACTGGTGCATTTTTCTCAAATGGAGCTGTTTTAAAATGATTATCCATATAGTATGCTCCATCTAATAATTGTTCAAAATTATCAAATCCAATTGATAAACAAATGGATAAACCAATTGCTGACCACAATGAATAACGTCCACCAACCCAATCCCAAAATCCAAACATATTAGCACTATCAATACCAAATTCAGTTACTTTTTCTTTATTTGTTGATAATGCAACAAAATGCTTGGCCACTGATGAAGGCTGCAAATTTAATGAAAAAAAAATTATTTTATATTATTAACTAAAAAATATATTTTTTTTTACATCATTTGTTTTTTCCAACAACCAATTTTTAGCTGATGTAGCATTTGTTATTGTCTCTTGTGTTGTAAATGTTTTTGATGCAACAATGAATAATGTTGTCTCCCAATCAATTTTTTTTAATGTTTCAGCCAAATGAGTTCCATCAATATTTGAAACGAAATGTGATTTTAAACCTTTACAATATGGTTTTAATGCTTCAGTAACCATAAGTGGTCCTAAATCAGAACCGCCAATACCAATGTTAACAACATCAGTCATTTGTTTTCCTGTATGACCTTTCCATACACCAGAGATAACTTGATTACAAAATTCTTTCATATGTTGTAAAACTGCTCGTACTTCAGGCATAACATCTTTATCATCAACATTAATTGCATTATTTGAACGATTTCTCAATGCAACATGTAAAACAGCACGATCTTCTGTTATATTTATACGTTCACCTGAAAACATAGCATCTCTAGCTTTTCCAACTTCACGTGAATTTGCTAAATCCAAAAGAAGACTCCATACTTCTGGTGTAATACGATTCTTTGAGTAATCAAGAAGAATATCTCCATCAGCTGGTGTAGGTAATCGAAGACTAAAAAAATGAAAGTATTAAGATAACAAAATAAAAATTTGATAATATCAAAAGTATCTATCAACCAAATTAAATTAGGTAAGGTATACGTGTATATCTAAATAATAATTAAACGTTAAACGCAAAGCTAGTCAGAATAGATTCTTCTATAACAAAAAGTTAATGTAACAAAAAGCTTATTTTTTTCACCACAGATTAAACCGCATTTTATATGTGTACAAAATAAATAAGCAGTCATTTTTATTACATACAATTTATAATAAAAAACTTATAAAATTGTTATCGTTATTACAAGTGGAAAGATACCTTTCTATATTTTTAATAACATAGCACTTTAATATTTACATAAGTGGGTTTGCAGTCTAAAAACGGTTTAATCTCCATTACCTTTATCTAATGTAAATTGTTGTATGACTTTTAACCTTTTTAAACTTGAAAATACATACATACTTATAAAAACAAGAAAAAAATATCCTCGTAAATTTATTTTTAGCACAAATTTAATGCTATTGACCCCAACTCCTATTTACAAAATTTTACTTTGTAAAGAATATTTTGGCTTATTTCAGGTGCTATAAATATGTACCCACTAAAATAAATTCATTTTTTTTTATTTAAATATTCAAGGTCAACTGCCATATAACCATATAATTTTCTTATTTGTACGATCAAGAATCAAATAAGACTTTTAAAATGTAAAATTTATTTACATACATATTAACTAATACTAAGGTTCAATTTTTTTTCAATATTTTAAAATTTAAGTTTTTAATTGACCTACTTTTACAAGTTCATATTTATAAAACTTTCTAATTAATTCTGTTTTAATGTTACGGATTATAATTGATAGCCATTATTTAAAAATTTAAAACAATACAAAATTTTAATTAATTTTTTTTTTAATTAATATTGGAATTGGTTTTTTTTTTTCTTTTCAAAGAGATCAATATTAATATTCAGCTGTTGCATTTATTAAGCGGTTTTTTCTTACATACCTGAACTTATCAAAACGCCCATTATCGGCAGCAAATAATTCTTTGATATTTAATTTAGAACCGTTTGCATTATAATATTCTTGAATTTTCTTATAAACTGGATCAGTAGATAAAAGAGGTTTATTAGCCATTATATTTCTTTTAGTTTTAACAAAAAAAATATATTCTTAATTTTTGAAAAAAAAAAACTCCAGCCAACGATATTTGAACCTTCTTTTGGACAGCAATTTACCTTTGGTCAATGTCAGAAATGTCATATTTTTGTTCTGTTCCATCATCTGATAAAAACAATACTCGAAATTTTTTAACGTTATCACAATGATGTGCTGCCATCACGGCTAATATTTTTGTTATGTCAAGGTTGCCATACTAAAAAATTTTACAAAGTAGAAGTTCCACATATTCGCCTGTACTACAACAAATGCCATAATTTTTTAGTAAGGTAATTGAGTAATCTGATGTTAAAAAATTTAAATATTTTTCTTATTAAAGCTCCATTTCTCCCTTTCAAACAACTAATTTATATCAAGATAATTTGCTATGAAAGCATGTTCGATTAAAACTTCCTCTACACATAAAAATTTATATAGAAAAAAGTTTTTAACCGCTACTAGGTTCCTTGTTCCTGAAATATCATACATTTTCTTTACATTGCAAAATCTGTAGAGTTAATTTAATATTTTTACTTACATTGTGTATATGAATAAAATTTTGTCCTAGTAGTTGAACAGTATCAAACATTAGATTTCAGAGACAAAACTTACAAGATAAAGTGGCACTTTCTACTTTTATTTTGAGTTTAATTTTCGATTATCGATACTAGTTGTCACGAAAAAATAACAATCCATTTTGACATTTTCATATTATTTTGGCTTTAAATTGAAAACGATGGCGGCCATCTTAGAAAGTAAAATTTTGTAAGAAAATATAAGCGTTTTCTTATTTTTAATTAAATTTAAAAACAATATTTAAAAAATAAATATTAAATAATTTACATAATATTTTATGGAAAGTTTTCTATAAGTAGAAATATTAAAAAGTATAAATAAAATAATTGAATGAAAGTTTATAAACATTTAAAAAAAAAAACAATATGATTGGTGACATTTGTTTTGAAAAAAATTATTTAGAAAGGTAAATAAATTACTCAAAATGTGAAATAAATATAAATTAAATCATTAAAGGAACTAAAAATTAATGTAAAATGGTAAAATGTTTAAGAAAAATTCTTGGAATTTTATTGAATTATTGCAACCTTGCAATTGCGTATTTCAGTAGCGCTAGGCCTTCTGTGAAGCGTGGTTTAATTTTTGTAATTAATTTAACAAAATATATTGTTATTAATATTGTAAATATTAAAGAAAATTAAAAATATCTTATATTTTAATATTGAAGCAAAAATAGAATAGTATAGTACGGATTTAAACAGAATAAGTAAGCCTCAATTGAAGAGTGCACAGTAGTTAAAAAATCATGGCTGCTCTCAAACTCTACAGGTGGCCATTCAAGAAATTGGTGAGCTGGTATTGGGTATAAAGAAGAATAAACAAATTAGAATTTCGTTTTTAATAACTATTTAAATGTTTTATAATAAAGAAATAATTATATTAATCTAATAAAAGTAATAATTGTCTTAATGTAATTAAAAACATAATTATCACATATTTATTTACATTTTAGGTTCTTACAACTGTGTGCAAATTGAAATTAGAAAATATGATAAAAACTAATTAATTGAAGTAATTTTGTTTTTGTTGTAAGTTTATGAAGTAATTAGTAGCAAAATGTCAAACGAGCAACCAGTATCAAAGCGTCAGAGAATAGAAAATAGTTCTCGACCTAACTCAAGTATTGATAAAACCAATACGACAAACACGCTAACAAAGACTATCCAAACTCCAGATATCTTAGCAATTGGACACCAAATAACTGATCCATCTGAACACAATGGTAACTCTCATAAGATTAGTGCAGCTATTTCATATGGACCAAATTCTATGTCTTCGGGATGTTCATCATCTTGTTCAACGAGTACGAGTCCCACAAGTAGTTTAAACAGCAGTACTGATGAAGTTGACAAAGTTAATAATCACACTAATATACCAGAGTCTACATCAAATAGAGAAATTCCTGATTTAATAAAAAACAATGTATCAAAATCAAATAGAAACATTCACTGTTTAAATAAAGACGTATTACAAACAACGACAACTAGAAATGAAATGGCTGATTTTGAAGGTTTTTTGGTTAAACAGTGTTTATGTGAAGTTAGTGAGACAACATTAAGGAGACCGTTTGAATCACATTATCATGAAGACTCTAATGGTACTAAAAGAATAGCAAATTTAAGTGAATGGCCCACTAGTAAATTAATGCAGTTTTTATCAAATCTTCAACTTTTATTTGACATATATTTAAAACAAAATTCTAAGGGTTTTATATGCAGTCGAATTATGGATATATGTGACGCTTTAATTCGTAATGATCATAATTTAATTGATGAAATAATTGAACTAGCTAATTTCAACAACAAATTTGTGCAATTTATAGCAGGTCGTGTGTTAGCTAGCTTTCTTGTAATAGCGAAACATAATATGAATGATGATTGGCTAAAAAAACTAATCGATAATTTATTTTGCTTTGAACGTATGGATTATATCGCAATACGGAAAATGCATTTTAGTTTAGAAATAATTAAACAAATTGTGGAATGGAAGGATATCGATATTCATCCACTGGAAGATGAATTAAATGATCAAAGAAATGCGGGCATTTCGCATTCACAAGCATCATCATCATCATCAACATCAGCTGCACAACAACACCAGCAACCACAATTTCATCCTAGAATAGAAAATAATTATTTTGCAATAAATTTTAACAGGGAAATGGACCGTGAAGCAGGGGGAAGTAGTTCAAATAATATCGATAACGAATATATTGGAAGAAATGAAAGGTAAAATTTTTATTTTTCTATCTATGTTATTTTGAAAATGTGGTTTATTCTGTAGATATATAAGCAACGATAATGATGACAATAGCAATTCAAGCCAAAGTCCAAGTCATGTTTTATCCCAAAACGGTTGTCACCTAATTTCGTTAACCGATTCAGAAAGTTTTGATACAACTCATTTAAAATGCGTTACAATAAAAATTTTAGAAAATAAATGGCCTGCTTTAGTCAAAAATATGAGTCAATTAATATCTTCATTTCGTAATGTAACGAATGCAGAAAATTGTATTTTAACTTTTTTGGTGTTATGGGAAAACATAATAAGTGTGAAAGCAAATTTATCAATTGTTGAAACATTACCGTTTTACGCTCAATTGGATAAATTTGAATTACTGTTGAATCAAGAATTATCATGCACAATATATAAACAGATGTTAAGTTTATTTAATGAAGCTTTATGTTATGGAAGCACATTAGCGCTTCAAGATCTTTTACCGGAAGAGACATGCATGTTAGCACATCAAATTGTTCGCCATGTAAAAGATTTTCGAATATTAGATTCTTTACCAAGGCGACAACCTGAAAATTCAATAAGCTTGATTGGATATAAAGGTAAATTTTTAATTAAAAATTTATAATATTTTAAAAATTTTTCTTTTCTTTAAAAGTTGTGTTCACTTATTTAAACTTTTTTCTTTTTAGGCCGAAGTATAATTTATGAAAATACATCATTGGATCATATTAGTGAAAATGATTTGTTAGCATCGCAAATTATTGGTGATGATGATGGTACTGAAATAAATAGCAATATTAACGATAACCATACAAATTTGCAAATAGACTCAAATGATATACCAGATATGGATAAAACGATATTGCAAAAAATTGTACTACTTGTATTAAAATCAGTTGCTGTAACTGTTAAAGAAATTCGAAGTGATTCTTCGGATTCATCAATTGATAGTACAGATTATGATGCATTTCAAGATATGGTATTAATTGAACGATCAATACGTGATGTATTAAAGAAATTAGAATCATTTATTAAAAATACTTTAGAATTTCATCCAGAATGTCATTTTAGTAAAATTTTAATACATTTATTTGATGATCAAGATGATCATTTAATTGAAGCAATGGTTTGTACTTTAGATGTTACAGCTGGTATATCATTTCGTAATAATGCATTCCCAGAATTAGTGGCAATGTTAAATCCAGTTTATACGTTCCTAGAATTTTTAAAGATGATATCAAATAGTTCAGATTTATTATTAGATTTATTAGTTAGTAATGAAACATGTTTTCTATTATATCTATTACGTTTTCTAAAATATATAAGAATAAATTGGTCAATGTTTATAAGTAGTTGTCGTGAATTCGATGAAAATATGGGTGGATCAAATTGTTTAGATGATGCTATGAGTGTATTAATTCGATTAAGATTACAAATTAGTAGATTAGTATCAAAATCTTTATATCCATATGATATATCACCAATATTAAGATTATTAGAAAGTTGCGAAAGTTTATATGAAGGCAATGAATTAAGTTAAATAATTTAAATTAAATTTAACAATGAATTAAATTTGTAAAATAAAGAATAAAATATAAGATAATTATATTAATTTTAATAATAAGAAGTGCCGCAAAATAATTAACCTCAGTACAAAAACAAATATAAATATATCAAGTTGTATATATGAAAATATATATATATATATATATATATATATATTTTTTTAAATTGCAGGAAGTCTTAATTATCGGGTTTTTTTTTTTTAATTAATTTTCATTTACGGGAAATTTTTATAAGAAAAATTTATGTGTATTATTTAATATTTCTTGCTAATTAATAGTTCCATTATGATGTTAATATTTGTTTATGAAAATAATAACAGGTAATTTTGCTTTAAATAAAAAATAGATTTATGATTGCAGTACACATTTATATAGAAATATGTATGTAAATTTTAGTTATATACGTCAGAAATACATAAATAATAATAATAATATAAGAGCCATAAAATTACATAAATTTTCATAACTACTTTATTTTTTTGCATAAATTATGATAAAAATCACGCCAATCAATTCCGAATTAATACGCTCAAACTATTAAAAATTTTATTATTTTTTTTTATTTATTTTTGTTTCAACAAATTTGTTATTCAAAATGCATTGATTCAAAGCAAATTTATATAAAATTAAAAATTCACGAAATGTTGTAAAATAAATTAAACATTGCAGGGTAGTTTTCAAAACAAAAATGTCTAATTTTTAAAATTTTTAACATCATTTTGTGTTAAAAATTTTTTATATATTTAATTTAGAAAAATTAAATTCCTATAAAATTTAAGTAAACATTTTAATATTCATAATATCGCTGTTATATAATTTTACTTCATATATAATAATAATTTCGGAGAATGAGCATTTTATGTTGAAACCCTCAAATAATGTCCATATTTTGTAAGGCAAATCATTTGAATTAATGATAAATTATTAAAAAAGTTTATAGTTTGCAGAATTAAAATAAGTTCTTAAAATTAAAGTTCTATACTGAAAACTCTTAATGTTTTTAAATTAAATCCCATGATTTCAAGTGATGCGCCTTATGTAGGTAAAATATAAAAACAATTTGTATTAATTATAAATTTTAAAATAAAATTCAAAAATTTCATTTTAATTTAAATGATAAATAGATAATTTAATAGATATTTCATAAAATGTTTCATTTTATAAACACATTAATAACAATAGGGCTTGTTTTGTACTTTATACTAAATTTTTTTTTGTTATTTTCACCCTAAATTTTTATAAATTTAAACTCTTGGCCTCCTGCTTCATTATAATATATTTTTTTTAAAAATTATTTTTAAGTATTTAATTTTTAAGTTAATAATAATAATAAAAAAAAACAAAAAAAAAAAATATCTTGCCCTAATATAATTAATATAAACTTACTTAAATAACTTATTTAAAAATTTATAAAACAATTTAGAAAAACAAAAAAAAAAACAATTTTTTTTTTTGCAAAATTTAATTTAAAAATTTTTTTTTTTTTATTTTAAACAAAACAAGTATTTTTAGACTGACATCTAACCGTTTTTTATATTTTCTATATTATTTTTTTAACTTTTTTTTATAAGTTAACAAAAATTTTTTATTTAATTTGTAAAATATATAAGAAAACGTAAGGCAAAATTTAAATACCAGTAACAATTTTACTAAAAAAAAGAAAACAATTAGTATTTAAAATAAAAATTTTGTACATTTTACATGTACATACAAAATATTCACACTTTATTTATATTAATAGAAAATCATAAATGAAAAAATTTTTGAAAATAAAATTAAATTATGCGTTTTATTTTCATTAAAAAAAAAACTTATTTTTTAAATTGCTATAAATTATAAAAACAAAACTCTAGGTAATAAGTGATTAATATATAAAAAGAATAATGCTGTAAGTAATAAAAAAAAAAAAACAACTTAATTGTATTTATAAATAGAAAAAAAAAAACTATTTCATATAAAAATTAAATAACATTGAGAGATTGTATTAGAGTGTGCTAAAATGTGCCTTAAGAAGAAATTTATACATCAACATGCAAAAAATAAAAACTAAAAACTAAAAAAAAAAATAAAAAAATAATATTTTAAAAAAATAAAAAAAAATAAATAAAAATAATATAAAATTTTTTTAAACAAAAAAAATTATATTTCTTTTAATTAAAATTAAATTATTTTTAAATTAAATTATTTTTAAATTAAAAAAATAAAATCATTCACCAGGACGTCTTCTAAATTGTAGATCTAGGCTCAAATTGATTTATTTAGTAATTGTTTTGTAACTGTTAAATTTACAATTTTATTAGACTGCCTCACATTTCATCATTTTTCCAAAGGTTTAGGTTTTGTATTTCATATTCAAAGGTTTTAATGAATTTTTTTTTAAAAATGTCTAAAATAATTAAAAAATATTTAATTATCAAAATTAATAGATATTTTTCCAAAAACTGTAATCTACACATAACATTATCAAAACTAATTTTTCACTTAAACAAAAAATTATAACTTTTAAACGCTTCGAAAATGTTATGAATTTGTTCAGTAAAATCTAATGGAATATTTATAAGGGCTTGAATTTGAAATGAATATTAAATATTTATATTTAATATTTGAATATTAAATTATTTTATATTTAAAACTGGTAATAAAAATATCTATATTTCCATTGTGATTGATAAATCATGAATTAAATAGGGGCTTCCTCTTAGAAAAACTTCCTTACAAAACTTAATGGGATTCTTACAAATCTAAAAATATGTTTTTGTTTAATTTTTGTACAAAAAACAAATGAAAAATTTAAAATTTTATTCTTAATTAATTTGTTTTTATTGAAAGTATATTTTCTTTGAACTAAAAAAATTTTGTTTTTTTTTTCATAAAATTTACATATCAATTATAAAATTTTTTTACATTTCTTTTTCTTGTTTTTTTTTTTTAACGGAAAAATATTAATTTTATTATTAATTATTTTTATTATATATTGTCATAGTCTTCATCTAATTCTAAGGTTGTTGTTGCTGTTGTTGTTCCTGTTGTTGATGATAATATTTTTGAATTATTTGATACATTATCTGGCGTTAATAAATTACTAAAATTGAAATTGATTGTCGGCGGTTGTGTAGCAATTTTCGATAAATCTATATTTATTACTGGACTATTTGTTATTTCAGGTTTTTTATTAATTGTTTTATTTAATTTATTATCTGTATTTGATATCGTTTTAGAACTATTCGCATCATACTGTAATAATTTTAAATTACTATAATCTATATTAACAATAGGCTTATTAGAAATATTTTCATCGATGCTAACTATTGGTTTTTGTATAACCATTGAATTTTCTTGTTTTTTATTAATTTCAGTACTTAATTTTTGTGAAATTTCTATATCTTCTTTGGAGCCTATTGTCGATGAATTATTTATGTTAGCAGTTGATAATTTTGGTAATTTTAAAGAAGTCATTATTTGTGATTGCTGCTGTTGATCCTGTTGTGTATTTATAGAATTTAATCGAGATATTTTTGGGGGAGTTGAAGATGATGAATCTAATGATGTTTCATTTATTGTTGTTGAATTATTTTTGGAATATGGTGAATATAAAGTTGAAAGTGATGCAGCTGGATTTAATGATGATACTATTGATTGTATTGTTGTATTTGCAGAAGTATTTGTTGTTGTTGTACATTTTAAAGGCGGTTGTGTATGATGTCTTAAACGGCTCATTGATTCCCATGATCTTTTTAAATCATTACGATTTTCTAAACCGATTTCAGGGGTATTATTTTCTCTTAAATTATTGTCAGTTGACAATGTTGGTATTGAAATTTTTGCTATTACTGAATTTTTACACGTAATTTCAATTCCATGTGATGATGATGATGAGGGTGATTGTATTGGTACAACAGGTGGAGAAGAGCTAATGCCTAATAATTGTTGCTGTTGTTGATTATTACTAATATTATTACCATTTCGAATCAATGGACTCGATTGACCATTTGACATTGCTATTCCTAAAGGTTGTTGATTTTGTAATTGTATTGATGTTAAGTGTTTTTGAAAATTGAATTCACAGCTAGTTGACGGTCTACTTAAATCATATGGTTCTTGTTGTATTGGAGTGATTGGTGTGTGTGGTTGGATTGTTGGCGGTGGACTTTCTAAGCTCGGTGAAACTGGCATCATACTGTCATTCAAACTACCACATTCTTCATTAACACTAATATCTGGTATATTTTTTACTAGTTCACGTAAAAAATCAAATTGATTTTCCGACATTATACACTGTTTCATATGGGATGGTGATAGTGTCTTAGCATTCCGAGAATTTGTTATTTTCAATGTCTTTGTTAACAGCGATTCTACAAACAATTCAAGTGTTCTAGGTATATATAAAAATATAACAATTAAGGAAAATTGTAAATTGAATAATTTCTTAAATATATAAAATATCAACAATATAAATTGTTAAAAAAACAAAGCTAAAAAAAAAAGTTTTCAAAAATTAAAACAGATAAGAGATTTAGAAAAATCAATGCTTGTTTTGAAAAGGATATAAATTATCACTGGAACAGCCTGAGCGACTTTTCCTACTTCTTCGTCACTTTGCATTATCTTTTTGATTCGACCCTAAAAAATAATTAAAGTAAAGTTTTAATATTTAAATTAATATGAAAAGAAATTATATATTTATTATAAAGAACTTTAGATAAAAATGCTTATTACAAATGTTCATTTAAAATAAAAAAAGACATTTAATTATTTATCAATATTCCAATGTTACACCACATTAAAAAAAATCAAGAAAAAATGCACCGCCTCTATCTTTTTACTATAGACATCTAATTATTTTACAAAGTTTTATTGTACTCACCGCCGGAAATCTTGCATTATATTTTTTCTTTTTTGAAGGCATATTTCTGTATTATTTTCTAAAACTAATAAGAAAACTAGATTTACGATATAATAATTAAAAATTGTTATTTAAAATAATATTCACTAATGCAAGCTCCCATGCACAAAAAATGTATTGATTTTTGACATCTGTCTTCCAAGTAATTATTGAGTATAAATAGCACCTGGGCGAACATATTGGAAATGAAACAATGCATTTTTCTCCTTCAAATTTTATATTACGGCTGACAATGGTATTAATTTTGAAACAGATCAGAAAAAGGAAACTAATGGTAACAGAAAGAAACAATAATTAATAAATCTGAAAAATTTGTTTAAAATATTTTTTAAGATTTATTAAATCTATCGCTTAACAAATTGCTTGAAGAAAAGTACAATGCGTTTGTTAATTTGCTTTAAATTTTTAGAGAATTGAATTGGAATGAGGAATACGGTTGGTTTTCGTTTGAAATGTAAATTCTAAGACGGTTGAAATGTAAGGTTATGTAAGGTTGTCAAAAATTTTAAAACTTCTTATCACATACAAAATTGATGGTTATGTACGCCTTTCTAAATTCAGGCGAGTTCAATATCAAAAATTCGATTACATTTAGAAAATAGTGAAAATTTAATGTTTTAAAAAATAGCACACGGCTGACAGAAATACATATTTTTTTTAATATCAAGAGAAATAGAGTACACATGATATATGCATATGTATGTACACGTCTGTGCAAAAAGTACCTTTGTATTTATTAATTCTTCCCTCTAATATAAAATTAAGTCAATAAAACAAAGAACTACTCTAAAATCCTTTCAAAAGAAGGAAAATGTGAACAGAATTGTTATATTTTAAATTTTTTACAAAACGTCCTTGGAATATAAGAAACAATACAGATTACATAGATACAAATATTTATCTACTTATGTATGTGGAGTGTATGTATTCTTTTAAAGTAGATATATGAATGCTTTTGTGTGATTTAGATGAAGAAAATAAATATCGAATGTCAAGGTAACAACTTTTGTCGCAAGATTTTTTAAAGTTTAAAAATGAATTTATTAAATTTATATCAAAGGGCAAAAGACAAATTGCAATTATCAATATTATTACAATGGCAATTTTTTTTTTAAATTTTTATTTCGTAGTTCTGTTACTTTTTTTTGTTATGAATTTGTTAGATATGTAGATCTTGAAGCATTCAAATTTCCCACATGTCAAGTTTACAATGGTAATTGCTCAACCAAAATTGACGCCGGCATAAGTAACCAAAATTACCGTATTGATGGTGTAGAAAAGGGTAATTGTAGCACACGGCATTATGTATTTGTTGCTATAAAAATGTGGCTGACGTTTGCTCAAAATGTCAAAAACAACCAAATTACTGGTTTGCTTTTAAAAATGCACTCTTAGAGATCGGAATTCAAATTCTGTGCTGTGCAGCAGTTTCTGTGTTTTATATTTTAATAAATGGAATATGCAACACATGTGTCCAAATTTTTTGACAATAGCATCCCACTTACCGCATCCATATTTTTTGTTGAATTGAAAACTAAACGGTTCGGTTTGATGTTAATTTGACATATTGGGCAATGAATGTTTTGAATTGATATTATTTAAATCCATATGTACAAACATAAATGTACATAATTCAAAATGAAACTATGGTACTAAAATTAACAAAAAATTTTTAAAATTAAAACACAACAAAACATAAAAAAAAAAGAATAACTTCCGAAAATAGCACCAAAAGCAAATCAACGCCTATTGTATTTATTATACTTATATGTATGTATATGCACATACTTACTTATAAAAACGTCAAATTATTTCAATCGATTGGTAATTGATTGAAAAAATAAAAATTTTTAAGATCATTGAACATTATAATTCGTTAACGTTTTTATCCATATTAAGATTTAATTTGTTTTTTTTGCTTCAAACTGGTTAAGATTAACTATTATTTTTTATGATCTATATTAGATTTAATTTACATTGTCAAAAACAAAATATGAATATAGAGTTACCATATGCTTTTATCAATCATTTGAACAGTAATCATTTTTTAACAGTATTGAAAAAATTATTTTAAATTTACGATAATTTTACGAACTTTGTTCTTTTTTTGATTATTTCTCTTCTACCTTTAAGGTGTGTTTTACATTTAGTCTATGGTGAGCATCAGTACCTATTAACTTTTGGATAACTTTTTGTATAGTGTACCAAAACCTATTTATTTTATTCCAAATTTGTCTATATTAATTACAGTATTAAATTTATTTCTTAAACTTATATTAATTATTAATTTCTATTAATCTTTGTATCAAACAAAAGTTTTATATAAAATAATAAAATTTGAGTTCAAGTTCATATTTTCAACCGCAAAGATAAACTATGTGTATATACAAATGTAATGAGATAATAAATTTAGCAGATCATTTAATAAATGTGATAAATAGTTGATAATAAGTTAAAAAATAATTTAAGCGTTTGTCTAAAATTTTAGTACATCACCTACAGTATAATAATATCAGAGATTATAGAAAAAGTAACTGGTATAAAAAGATAACGCAAATAGTCTATTGCTGTTTTTTCGGTTCTAAAATTAATAAGATACATAAAACTATTTAAAACTATAAACATATATAATAAAAGTGTAATTAAATATTTCTTTACACATATAAATTCATATCTGAAGAGATTTATTTACATGTAAATATTTATGGTAATTCATGAATATAGATATTAACAATATACTATTGTCTTTCTTTATTATTCCATTGTTTTCTTTCAACTAAAAATTAAATTTAAATTTTATTTATCCTAGTTTTGCATACATTTTATACAATATAATATGGTCACCATACGTGTGAAATACGTATATATTTATTAATTATTTGTACTGCTTACAATAATGATATACAATATAACATGTAGTTGGATACATTATCACATCAATATTACCATCAGGTGGTATTTAGATAAATAGACGAAATTGTATACTAAATTTTACTCTAAATTTTGTAGTTAAAAATTTTTTCTTTCTTTTACATTTTGTGTAGTTTTCTATACACACATATTTATGGTTTTTTTTTTCTCTTTCATTTCTTTGACACAAACAACTTAAGGCGAGTAATAATAATAATAACAGCTTTTGCTGTCTTTTTATATTATCGTTAATAGATGGCATGGCATTGTAATTCTTAATATTTACCGTTAAAAAAATTTCATTAAAATAAATTTTGAAAAATTAAAAATTTGTTAAAATTTTTTTTTACAAGAATGAAAACCAAAATGTCAGTCAGTCTCATGAAAGTTGATATAAAAATAATTTGTAAGTTTTTTATAATAGTCTGAACTGACATTACTGAACAAAATAAAATAAAATCCTTCAATACAAAATTAATTTTCTAATGTCCTCTTAATTTGTGCGGAATTTTTAAATAATTAAATAGAAGAGAAGTAAATCATTTAAAAAAGGCACTAAATTTTTAAATTTTATAAAATAAATAATATAAGAGTCACAAGCTTTGTTCACCATCAGCAAATGTTCAGTAACGGACACAATATGCAATTTTATAGCGTGGCAAATTTTCTAACTAAAATTTTTGGACAGATCAACTATAAGCAAAAAAATTTATTAAGAAGAGAGTTGTAAAATATAATAAAGAAAAGAGTTGCAATTTTGTTTGCGCTGAATTTTTTTATGTAAATACAAGTGAGTATGTACATACGAGTATATGTATTCAATTATATTCGCACAATGCAATATGATTTTAAAGCAAAAATAAAATTTTGCCATAATCATAAAATTTTACCAGTCAATATTTTTTTCTTCTTCTTCTTCTTCTTTTCTTTTGAGGGAATTTTACTTATGTATATGCCAAAGAATAACAATCTGATGTGAGAATATGCGGATACTTGTTAAACTAAAATTATACAATAATAGTTAGGTAGTAAAATATTACAATATAAAAAAAATATCTAAAGTAAAGTGAATAGTAACTAATAATTTTAAAGTATGTATGTATATGAGTATGTTTAAGAAAAGCAGCAGGTACTTTTGAAATAATTGTTTTTTTTGGCACTACTTATAATTTAAAAATTGACCTAAATTAGACATTATTGTTATAAGAGCTAGTAGTATGGGTTTATGTATATATATATGTATGTACATATAAATATGGATTAGTTAAATGTAAACCCATATAATGTGTTATGGCTATTAGTAAAAGATACTTAATTTAAAAAAATATCTAATTACAATATGTATATGTATGTATTTGCTATGTATGACGTACTTATGTATAAAAATTATGATATTTTGTAAATTAGAAAAATGTATGTATGTATTCGTGAAAATATAAAAACAAAAATGTCATTTTGAAGGTCTTTCCTTCTATTAATTATGTATGATAATAGTTTTAAAAATGTAAGACCATAGAAATGCAGATGAATGACATACAAATTGTTAGAATCATATTTAATAGGTACATAAACATACATATATATGTATATACATACGTAATTATATAAATATAGTAAAAGTACAAAACAAAAAGAAAAATTGTAAATCTAATATTTTTGAGACCAATACGTCATGCTGTGCATACTATATTGTACGTAATTGTATATACGGATAAAAGTTATACACATATTATGTACATATGTATATAGATTTATAATAAAGTGCCCTAGATACCTGGGTCCTATAAATATTAATCCAAATTTTTTTTTTTTTTGTATATTCATGTTTTAACTTGTTATGATTTAGTCATTTTACGGGTCAAATTATGTAAAAAATATGCTACATTAAGAATATAAATGAACTTATATAATGAAAAATTAAACGAACACATAAAGTGTATACATACATACATATATATAATATGTATATTTTGACTTGTACAATGATACAAGCTGTTTTTCAATTTTTTTGTCATATCGTACAATGTGAATTGAAAAATGTCATAAAAAATTTTCTCATAAAAAAACTGCGTGTGACTGCGTTTATTCATCTAAATTTTTCATATTTTCTATATTATGGTCACCTTACAATTAATTAAATATTCATGAAAATTATTTGATTAAAAATATTGCAAAAATATATATATATATATATATTTATGTATAAAATTACGGAAAATTGTTCAAAATATAACAAATTTGGAATTAAAAATATTATTAAGATC